CCCACACTGGGTGAGAGGGGGCAAAGGGGCCCAACAAGCAGTTGCATCCAAGATCTGATGGTGGCTGCAGGGTCAAGCAAACTGTGTGAAGGACTGGGTGAAACACATGACTAAAGTGACTTCTGCAGGAAACATTCTTTTTGCATTTCCTTCTGAGTGCATTTTGTTTGTTGTAACTGTGTAATGTCTGCAAGTCCCTGAAATTTGAAGCAGGGATAAAACTCAGGTGCTTTTTTGCTGAGGGATCCCTGGTGTCATGTGGGCTTTCCCCACCCCATCAGCTCCTGTGATTCTCTGGAGACACCAAGAAAGAGATGCTGAAGTGGGATTGCAGCTGAAGCAACAGGGAAGGAGGAGTGAGGGGCTTTGGGATGGGAGGGGAAGGACAAGGTCACTCTGGAGGAGCAGGGCCCAGTGTGCTTGGGATGGGGATGGACAGGAGTTCAGGCAGAGGTGCGGGAATGTAAATTGTGGGGAGGTGGTTGGGCCAGGACGAGCTAGGTGGTGGAGCTGAGGTCTAGTGCCAATGAGCAAAGATGTAGGGTGTAATTTCTTCCCCTTAGACCTAGTTTAAGAACAGTGTGTAAACGCACGTACACAACACATCCCTCCTAGTGCTGGAACTTCTGTTTCTCCATCCGCTTCTTTGCTTTTAGCAACCCTGCAATCCTATCCAGTGCCCTTCCCAAGGAGAACAGCGGGATCTGAGTGTTGAGTCCAAAAGAAAGATGAGTGATTAATTCATGGTCTAAGGAAATGGAGTGTGTGTGTGGTTGGGGTTTCTCTTGTTTTGTTTGGGATCAATGTTCTGATGTTTGCCAATGAGTGTGGTGATAAGGGAACAGCGAGAAAACTGAGCTGATCCCCACCCTAATGGGAGGGAAAAACTGTTCTGGAAGCAGAGCAAAGGCAGCAGCACAGCACGTACCACAAGAAATGCACAGACTCTGCAACAGAGCCATTTATACTGATCTGATTACACTGCAGTTTTAATAAACCTCCTAGGTAGGCTCTGCATATATCACAGATGCTGTTAGCTCCAATAAGTTCAGTAAATATTTCTGACTTTTGTTTCAGGCAAATAGGTATTTGAAAACTAAACATGCCTGAGAATGGAAAAGATCTGTTAGTAATACATGCCCAGCATATCAGAGACCAGCCAAGGGTGCCTCATCTTTATGTGATAGTTGTCTGCTGGGGAAGAAGGAGCTTCCCAGCAATTCTTCTTTCTCTAAGTCCCAGGAATTCAGAGGTTCTGAAAAGGCAGCAGACAAATACATCCATGTACCTATGTGCATCTGGATAGTCCAGGATATTATAGCTCAAGTGGCTGATATGTTTGATCCCAGGCAAGTTAAATCTTGTTCCAGCTGGATGTCATCATGCACGAGTCTTATCAATCAAGGTGTACTGTAGACCCTGTTCTTGTCGTGTGGTTATCCTTTGTGTTAATTCTGTCCTGGTCCACATGGCTGTTCATGATATAATAAAACTGGGGAGAGATTTTGAAGAAGTTAAATATTCCACAACATTCATGTGTGCCAAAAAGCGCTTATTAATGAAGGGACAATTTAGGGTCTATTTGGCTGAGTTCTACAGACCTTCTTTCTCCAGCCTGATCTCTCTGTTCTGTCTTCTGCTATCACTCTGCTTGGTCTTTCAGGTTGGGTTCATCTTCAGTGGAATGTGAGCAACTGGTGAATTTTGTCATTTGTTTTTATATGGTGGCTGTGTGGAGTGACAAGGTATTTAATTGTCCTGCTGTAACTGAGCTGGTTGCCAAGCCCATATCCCAAACGTGAGGAAAGGGAGAAATCATTACTGCAGGAAATTAGGGCAGTGGTGATGGAAATATCACATTATGTTTTGAATTACAGGGTAGTGTAACCTTGCTGTTGACAAGGGCATCATAGTCTTTTCTGCAAACAACTTTTGTCAGGTATTTACAACTCTGAAGAAATTTGTCTAGACCTGAAACTTGGCATCATCTTGTTTAGCAAAGTACTAAATTGTTGTCATATATACTTTAAACACTTGTTAGTGCAGTAGATGTTGAGTTCCATGATAAACTACAGCTTTAAACAGGTGACATTATATCTACTTTGGGAGTTTGCCTAGACACAAAAAGATTGCAAGGACTTAGAGCAAAGGCACTCTGTATAGAAGATATTGAGAAGAAAATAAAAATGAAAGAGCCCTTAAAATGAGGAGATCCAACAAGCCTGGATTTCATGTTCTGTGACTACATGAAGAGGCTGCAATGCCTTTAGTCCAGTTGCTGGGTGAAGTTTGCCTTATCAGTAATGGACACTAAATGACCTGAGAAGGATTCTCTGGGGGCAGCAGGTTGACACTTGCCACACTCCCTGCTGTGCATGAGCCTGCTGATTGTCTCAGCTGTTTATGAACTGGATTTAACAACTGCAGCACCAGTCACAAAGAATTTACTGTGGCATATTCATATTGCTCTTTCCTTGTTGCTTTCACAAAATGTTTGTATAAGCTGACCTTTCTTTCGAGGAGGTGTTGGACAGTGGCAGTGGTGCAGATGCAGGACGTTCCATGTCAACCTTATTGTGTAGTTTTCAAATTGGTAAGGGATTGAAGCAGGAAGGCCGTCAAAAAAAGAAGTTTCTGGTGGTTTCATAACAAGATGTACCTATCAGGATGTAAATGCATTATTTTTAAGGTCGAAGAACAGGTGGATAGTTTTGAAATGGACTCGTTAAGGCAATAACAATCTGATAGAGCTGACTCTCCTGATTTCTTGGGAACGGTTAACTGAAAGGATATTTAGGTTTGGTTTGATACCTCTCGATAAACATTCTCCCCACAAATCAGTGGAACTATAGAAATGCACATCAGCTTTATTGGTAATCAGCTTGGCTCTGTCCAGTATTCCAGAGTTTATGATCCCCTTTGCTGTCCCTATAGAATGGCTTTAAAGCTCACTTGGTGCATATTCAGACTTCTGGCATTTTGCAGTTGCTCTTTTATCTTTATAATAAAACATGTATTTAACAACAATTAAATGTTGAAACAGCTTGCTGGCAGATGGGATGAATTTTCTATCTCCTGAAGTTTTCAAAAATGTCTTTCAGAAATATGTTCATTTTATGGTCTGTGTTTTAGAGAAGAATGAACCAGGGTATTGTAGTGGTTTTTCTTGACTTCAAAATTTTTCCATATTTCTAGTGTCAATTTTTTTTTTCAAATCACTATGTAGAGTTTTCTTTATCCTTCTAATTTCCACCCAAAACTGCATTTATTATCTAGTCTTTAAGTCATGCCTAATTCCTTAAACAGCTAAATACCCAGTGGTAAACAGAACTAATAATGTGGTTTACGTGGCACAAATGGCTTGTGCCTTGAGAACCAGGAGACCCTTTTCTGTTAAAATGGTTCAATAGACTGTGGGCCCTGATCTCAGATACTTTGAGGTAAGTTGTGCTGTGTTCTTACACTCAAATAATGAACTTAGAAATATCAGTAGAAAAAGTGAAGTTGTTAACTGCAGCTACTCTTGCATTCCTCGCGTTCTTTAACTAAAGGACATGCGTTGCTAATAAGATCCCATACTCCAAAGACTGGTTTCAAATATAAAACTGAATTGAATATTGATTTTTAATTTTAGTTCATTTAGTTGCTTATGTGTTTTTGGGTTTTTTCTGAAGTGAGGTAACTGGTTTTGGTGCTTTGAATGAAAATGCAATTGCTGAGATACTAAGCTGTGGAATGTGGTTGCTACTCGTCTGCATTAACAACCATTTGAAGAAATTTCATATGGATTTTTATTATGCACTTATATGTAGATTTAAATACCCTTTATTAATACACTCAATTGAACAATAACATACATTTTTAAAGTGTCATAAATACAGGGAAAACTTAACTACTGCAGTTAGGCAATGGCCAACGTTTTTAAGCTCAGCAAGATTAATATTAGCCATGAAACTGCATCTGAAAAACTGCCTTAATTCCTGTTTTATGGCTATTACAGTGCTAATCTGCTAAGGATTTACTTATTTGGCTAAAACAGTTTGTTAAATGACTTCAGGAGTTCTAGAGTCAAAAATACATATTTATGGAATGCAGTAATAATTTGTTCTGCTTTAAAGGACAAAACACTGGTCTTCAATTTCTGACAAAGAGCAGTATGAAATGGAGTTGAAAAGATGAGGTTGTTGGGCAGTTGATATTATCTAGCAGTGATCTCTCATTGGTTTGCAAATTAATCCCTCCACTAGCAAAAGAGGAGATGGAGTGAAAGGGCAGATAAATAGCTTGAAAATTAGTTAGCTCAATTTTCCAGAGAATATTAATACATCATTTTATGTCCAGCTGGTGCTTGGCAAGAAGCTTAGTGCACCAAGGATCAGTTCTGGGGCTGATATTACTAAAGATCTTCCTTAACAACCTGTCTAAGGAGACAGAATGCTCCCTTGAGAAATCTTGAGGTGATGCACAACTGTGGGGATAGTAAAGCTGTAGTTCAGAGGATCCTTCACAAACCTGAGGGTTGGGCTAACAAGGTCAGCCACAAAGGCTTTGCAGGCGTAAACCATTTGTTGACTCAGTTGGAATTTAAAGACCAAATTTGTTATTGTTATTTAAATAAGTAATGCAGACCTTCACAATAATTTAAGAGGCTTTAGTTCAGATCACTCTAAACTCTGTTGCTTCCACTGCATATAGAAGAGTTTGGACTGCAGGTGGAGAATTGATTTGCAAAGTGGCTGCAATAGCTCCACTCGGAGTGTGTGGGCTCTCCTGGCTGTTCCTGGGCTGCCTGACAGTTATAGGCCAGGGATATTTATATGGCTGTACAGGGAAAATAGGATCTGTAAATTGGTATTGTATAGAGCCAGATAGCTTTTCAGTGGACAATAGGCTGTTTCATTATATCAGAGCTTGCTAACACTTTGCACTCTTCTGAGCTTCAAAAAGCTGAAATTCTACTTTGCCATTAGAGTTGGTTCATCTATTACGTGGCCTCAGTAATGTTATTTGGAGGTAAGTCTTGGAGAGTGAAAATGCCTTAAAGCATAAAAATGGAGGGGTAATATAGTGCTGTAGGTGTCAGTCTAGTATTCATCACTGTGAGAGGTTTATCTTCATTTTATTCTAATTGAGAAGTGAGTCTGATGTTTGAAAAGCCCAAAATTACAGATGCTTATGTGTTGGAATGGCTATTGTCAAAGTATGGAGGGAAAGGCACCCTGTCGTTGCAGTCTTTTAAAAATGATTTGTTGAAAATTGACTTTGAGTGTTCGTACTGGAGGTCAGAGTTCTCTTTAGAGGCTTCTGCTTCCACAGAAATATCTAGAAGTACCACAGTTATGCCTTGCTATTAAAGGAATGATTTTGTTACAAATACTTACCTGGCAGCGCTTTTGATTCATTAAAATGGGAAAAATAAGTGGAGCAAAACAGCTGGGACAATTTCTAAGTAAATTCATCAGTCATTCAGGAACTATGCATTTAAAATACCTATAAATAATAGAATGCTCCATCTAAATGGAATCCTTTTATTGATGTGTAAGTACAGTGTCACCCTGAAATTTCTTTAACGTATCATTTCCTTGTGTTTAGAATCACATCAGGCAATTTATATTATTTCTAATTTTTCTACTTTATTTTAACAGCATTATTTTGAATGGTGTGTGAAATCAAATTGATACACACAGTTGTTAAGCTTTAAAATTACTTTCAGGTAACAAATAATTGTTTTGGAAACTCTGTTCCTTCACTCAATTTTTTTATATTATCTCGAGGACTGACAAAATAATTGGATAACTTCTGTGGTTTGCCACTGGCACTTGTAAATTCCCTTTATTCATATTCTTGCAATATATTCTCTTAAATATCTTCTTTCCACACTGATGGTGTTGATGGGACTGCTGATCCTACAAAAGAAGACAGGACGATGGAAATGGGGAAAGTGAAATACTGAGAACCCAGTGTTTACTTTTTATTGTCTATGTTTAGTTCTCCCACGTTTACAAAGAATAAATAAATTGTTTAAGTTTGCATGTGGAAAAAAAATCTGTGATTTTTTTTAAATTTTGTTCTAATAGATAAAAAGATGGCCTATCACAAAGTGAATGCAGACCAGAGAGCACAGGGGCACTCTCCATACCTTGACAACGATGAGCTCCAAGCCACAGCGTTGGAACTGGAATGGGACATGGAAAAAGAGCTGGAGGAGCCTGGCTTTGACCATTTCCGACTGGATAGTGCAGTCCAGCATCACCTGGGAAACTCCCAGAGCCCTGACCTTGATCTCGAGCCCATCCAGACTTCATCTTCTCCCAAAGGAAGATTCCAGAGGCTTCAGGAAGACCCCGACTACATCTCACACTACACGAGACAGGCACCAAAGAGCAATCGCTGCAGTTTTTTTCGGATACTGAAAGTATTTTGCACTGCTTTGATTTTATTTATTTTTGGAATTGTGATAGGATATTATGCTCGCAAGAAATGCCCCTCTCCCCCAGCATCTCAAGAACCAAATAATCCTCATATCTACCATGAAATTCTCAAGGAAATCAAAGCTGAAAATATTCAACAGATTTACAGGTATGTACCTTGGCATGTTTTTTTGTCTAAATGCAATTAGGTACCAGTGTTAAGGCTTTATGTGATTTGTTTTATGTGGAATCATATTTACAAACCTTGACTTTTTCTTCATGTTCAGTTTTCTCATGATGCTTGGGAAGCTTTCATAAGAAAACTAGTGGAATTTACTCATATACAAAAGTAGTTGAATTTTTAATAATGTAAATTTGTGTTAAACACAATAGTTTTGCTTTAGCAGCGTTCTGTTACTAAATATGTTATTATCTTTAATGTACATGAATTGAAAAACATAGATTATTCAAAGTGAATAGAAATATAAACAATAGAACAACTGTCCTAGGTCCAACTGATTGCCAAATAACACTGTTGAAAAGCAAGGTTTATATGATGTTTTGTAATATTTGGTGCTTTAAAATAATTCCTGACTAATTTTTGGCACAAAAATGAAACCTGGCTTGTGGTTTTATCTAAATGGTGAATTAAACCTTTAGTCTGCATTGCTTTAGGATGAAAAAATTGGCCTCTGCACTCTGAAAGACCACGATTTGTTTATTTTTTATTCTTTATAATCTGTTTTAAGAACATAAATTGTTGTAAAATATCTGCTGACTGGGGTTTGATTTTATTTTTTTCCATGTGGAATCTTTTCACTGCTTTGAAAGTTTATATAACATGTTCATATTAGAGTATAATCACTTTTCTGTAGCGGTGAGTGTGGAAGAAACTAGGTTTTCCTTCCAACTTTTGTAAGTTATTTGAGGGGACAGAGGAGCTTATTTTGGCTTCTGGAACAGAAAGTTCCTTTCTCATGATAAAGGCAATGCATTGCAGATTTTTTGATCAGTACCAGTTCAGGAGCAGCAGAACTTAAAAACCTGAGGTTAGAAAAGATTGTTGTCATGGTCATCCAAAGAGGTCTTCTTGAGTAGAGCAAAAATACATTTGAAAGTAACCACAGGAGTGTTCTAACAATATTGTCTTTTATTGTATCTGCTAAATCAAGTCCTAAATCCTGACGTGGTTAATACAGTGTTTTGAGCCAACACTGTTACTAAATTCAAGGGAAAAAAAGTAAATATGCAGGATTTCATGTCAGTTTTCATGTGCTGAACTGACTCTACTTTAGACAGACTAATCATTTTCATAATGGGAAAGGGTACAGGTGATGAAAAATGCTGATTTTTCTTCTTTTTATGTAAAAAATTAACTTCTTTGTCTTTTCAGGGAGTCAATTGAAATGAATGCTGTCATTAGGCTTAGTCATGACAAAAGTATTGGAATAAACTAAGCCCTGAGATTAGGTATTACACAAATTACAGCAAATTGCTGACATGTCTGTCAAACTCAGGATAATACTTTGTCTTTGGGGACTGGGAGTTGCTTGCCATTTTATTATTTCAAAGAGTGGTTTAAAAAGATCCCTTTTCAAACTCTTCATCACTTGTCAAATGATTTCAGCCTTCTATTAGGATATTAGTGAGAATCTGGACTTTAACTGAAATGAATTATATGAATACTTTGGAACTTAAAAAACATATTATATAGTTGCTAGCCTTTTACATAATTTTTAGTATTTGATTTTTTTTTCTATTTAATGGCATGATTTCAACAAATGTAGTCAAGCATTAATTCAGCTGCCTATCAATTCTGTATATAAATATATAATCAATGCTTTTAGTATACTGCATTACCCACAAGATTTTTCTTAAGCCAACATTTTGATCTGAGACAGATTTTATCCCATGTTGTTTTAAGTTGCTTTTTCTCAACATCTGTTTGGCAATAGTCAGAGACTGCAAGGAAACCTGTGTGTGTTTAGCCCCACAAGTACAGAACATGCAACATATGTTGCTTGGGTAAAAAAACCCACAACTCAAACCTGACAATGTCAATATATGTTATTGGAAAACTTCTTTCAATATAATACTTTGAGTTATTAGGAAAGTGGCAGCTGCTTAGCTTGCAATTTCTCTTCTACCTGTTACTGGGAATGACATTAATTTAATTATCTTTGTTTACTATTTAGATCAGACTCAGTAATGGTAAAGGATTTTGCTAACTATCCTGAGAAAGGAATTGGGAGGAAAAAAAAACCTGTTTAAAAGACACAGAGTTGCCAATCATATTGTCCAAGCAGACATCACCTCAGTGTGCTTGCAAGTCTGGAGTGGGAGCTGTTCACCCCAACGGGGGTGAAATCTGCTTGTGATCAAATGAAGCTTTGAGGATTGGGACCCTCTGGGCTTCTAAAGGGGTGGCAGAAGTGCAGCAGTGGACTTGTGTTTGCTTTGTTGAGATTTGTGGATTTTGTGAGTTGAATGAAACCTGTCTACCAATCCATGTTAGGAATGGAGGATCATTGCTGCCCAGGGAAATGGTTTAGTCTCCATCCCTGGAGGGATTGAAAAGGTGTGTGGATGTCTTGGAAGTGCTGGGTTAGTGTTCTTGTCCAGCTTCTCCACTGGAGGCTCTTGGTGGGAGCCGATGTGCAGCTCTTCTGTCAGGCCCATTCTGCCTGTCTACATCAGCCAGGTCCATGATAAGCATTTTTCCCAGCAGACACACTAGAAATCATTAGGTAAGAAAACTCAGCGTTGGCTTTTATTCCTTAAACTTTGCACCTTGCTTCCCGTGAAATGTCAATGTTACGGAATTTCCGTGCAATTTAGCACAGTTGTAATTACTGGTCTTGGCCACGTTCCTAATCAATGATACAGCCTAAGTAAACATTATATCTGTAAGCCTTTCTGAACACTTCCCCCCGCCCCCTGCAGGGAGGTGCTTGCAATGTTGACAGGAAAAAGTTGAAATCGGTTTACTCCTGATGTTTCAGGGGTTTCAAGAGGTGTTAAGTTGTGAGAGGTGCCTGAAAGGGGAGAAGGAGTTGTCACCAAAAAACTTAGAGTTTTTCTTCATCCTGCACGTTGCTTTTTACATGCTGACAAAAATTGGCACAAATACTGTTAATAGGACTCAATCAGTAAATCTAATGATTTAGCAGTATGAATACTAGATTTGCTCAGATAAATATTTATGACATAACCTGCTCCATAATACAGGAGATTCAGAACTGGTAAAACCAGACTTAATTCTGCAAACATCACTGGGCTGATAGGAATCCAGTAATTGTATCTGTCTGTGCCATGAATATGGCTTCTCCCAATTTTCTTTCTTTGTTCTATATGTCCTTATGAGAAGGGCATAAATCCCACACCCAAAAGAGACGAGGTGGAAGTTGAAACATAAAATACTTTGGGTGCTGTTTAAATTTATATCCATAACTAGCAGAACTTAGCAGGACAAAACAGATGGATAAAGCTGGTAAAACTGATAGGCTGACAGCAGGTTATCTCCTGGGACAGCTGGGTTGAGACTCCATGGCAAGACTGAGTTCTCAGAGCCCTTTTAGAGAGAGCGTGTCAAGAGGGCAGAGCTGGAGGGTCTTCTGTGCTTTGAGTCTGCACCATGCTCCCTGAGGAATGTGTCTACAGCTCCAAAGCACAATCATTAGCCTAGGAAAGGTCCTGTTTTCAAAAGTGATGAATGTTTTTAGATGTGGAACTCTCTATAGTTTATAATAAATGTCGAAGGTCGTAAGAGTCAGACTTTCAAAAATACAGAAACACCCAGTAATTTCACTAAGTGTGCTGTTAATTCTCAAAAGGAAATTTGCAATTAAAAATTTCACAATTCTCACTGAAATCTGACTTTTTAAAGCTACTTTTTAAAATGGCATTTAGATTTCTAATATCACTGAAGTGCTTTTGAAAATTCATCTGATTTTTCCTTCTCGCCCTGTATAAAAAGGGGGATGCTAAAGAAGTGTATTTTTATTCTGTTGCTACATATCTGGGTATGTATGTAGATTCAGGGTAAAATGGTAAACATTTGAGTTTTGTGCAATTGAACTTTGAGTTTTTTCAGTTAAGAGTTGAGTTTAAAATTATTAACAAAATCTAAAGGGACAGGGCAATAAAACCACAAAAAGTAGCAGAAATGCAGTCTTATCAAAGACCTCTATGATTATAATTATCACTATTATCCAATTTGGCACCTTTTTCTTAGAAAATACATATTGCATTGCATCTTTAATTTCTTTATTGAGCATTTCAGTAGGGAAGTATGAAAAACGGTATTTTTATTTTATAAGAAATTATTTCAGTTGGGTTGCTCCAAAACCAGGTAAAAATGAAACTATCCTAGTTTATTTAGAGAATGTGGGGTATCAGAATTTTTTACGGTTGTAATTTTGGATTTGACTTTTGCAAATTAAATGGATAAACAAAGATTCATGTTGAATAGTAAGAATTAAAAAAAAGGCAGTTGTGTTGATGTCAGTGATAACTCTAGCTTATACATTGTTTGTCAGATCAGCCAATTCACTCTGACGTTTTTAAAATTCTTGTAACCTTATTCTGCTTTACTCAATAATTCCACTCAGCAGTCATATGTCTTGGTTACTATTAGATTCACAGTTTCTTGGATACATTTTTCCATTATTAAAACTGGGAGGGGGCACAGAGAAAGGAGTCTTTGCTTTGCTCTCCAACCAGTCTATAGAGCGGCTCCTACATTTCACCTCTGGTTTTTATCCTGTATGTTCTCACTCAAATGCTTTCTTCACTATCATTTTTTCCCCTCCTCGAGCAATAGGGAGGTTTAAATCCCTTTGTAATACCTGTAGTTGTAACTAACTGTCCTTTAGAGACATATCTGTTCCTTATTCCAGCGGGTAATATCACCTGCAGAATCTCCCAAATCCATCTCTGGCAAGAATTGATTTGTCATTGGTGCCTGTTGCCAGCCATAACTTCAGCTTAATTCTTCAAAGGGCTTGGGAGGGCAGGCAGCAGCAGCTCTCCTGTGCAGTCATGGCCAAAGAACAAAAGTGCCTGTGCAGTGAGAAAAGGAGTTTGCTTGTTATTTTCTTTAAGTGAGAAACTTCCATACACAACTGTTTGTTGTCCCTGATCAGTTGTAACCAGTACTGTTAAAACCTT